GATTTCCAGTCAAAACACGCATTAATCACAAGATATTAAATTCAGTTCCACTTATTTGTCCTTGACTTTCTTCTTCCATATGCGAGTGGATTATTTTATATTTCAGCTCCCCAGAAATATGTACTGAAAATGAATAACTTGTACTTAATAGCTGTTTTGACTGGAAATTAAATTAGTAAGGGGTGATCTCTGACTTTTGCACAGTGCTGTATTGTATGCTGTGTACTAGAGCTGCATGATCAATCATATTTTTATCCTTATCAGGATATGAGTTTCCACAATAAACACATCATTAAGAGCTGTGATAACGGAACAGATACAATTACCCCATACACGTAGCGGCAGAAACATTGACCAGTCAGCTAAATGGCTAATAACAAAACACACAAGCACATCTTGAAAAATACTCCATCCTGAACTACACACCTGTAAAAAAAACAAAAACAAAACAAAACAAAAAACCCCACTATTGTGTTTTAAGTGTGCAATGCAGTAATGCTTACTGTGACAACAAACATATTTAATAATAAAAATTTAATAAAATAAATAAGCAAAAATATATATTTGTTTTTGTGAGCCTAGATAAAACTAAACAAATGTGAATGTTTTTTATAGCATTTATAGAAAGAGCTGTTGAGGTAGTCCTGACTGTTCCTCTGCCTTACAGTGCACATAAAATGCCCTTGCATTTCTGATGTAAGTAGCTGTTAGTATGTTTTATTTTGCACAATAGTGAATGATGTTTTGTAATTTTGTGTTTTGCTGCTTGCTCAAAGAAGAGGTTGTTGTATTTCTGTTTACACATTCAAAAAAGTCTGTACTTGCATCACTTCCGGTTAGAGAGACACTGTTTCTTTTTTGTATTTATTTATTTATTTATTTATTGGATTTTTACCCAATTTTCTCCCCAATTTAGTCGTTTCCAATTCTACCCGCTAGTTAGGACTCCCCCAATCACACAATACTACCAACGCTAGGAGGGTGAAGGCTAACACAGGCTTCCTCCAAGACCTGTGAAACCAGCCACCACATCTTTTCGAACTGCGGAACTTTCGAACTCGGAGGAAAGCGCCAACCGCCAGATCTGTTACGCAGCCAACAGACGCCTGCGCTGACTAGCATCGCGTTGAGTGATGGGGGAGAAGGGGGGTCATCCTACCCACCCAGAGAGAGCGAGGCCAATTGTGCTCTCTTGGACTCCCGGCTACGGATGGCTGTAGCATCACCAATGCTTAGATGGTTGCGCCACTTGGAAGCTGCGAGACACACTGTTTCGATAATATTTTTTCACTTCATATATTGTTATTGTGATATGACAGCTTTATCGAACATCACATTTTATTCATTATACAGCCCTATGTACTGTGCACAACAGGTCTCGAACCTTCCAGAGAGTTTTCTGTGTGTTAATGTGAGTTAAGGCATTCACAGACTTACAACTAATTTTATTCAAAATAACAGGAAGAGGCCAGTATTTAACTGTCACATGTAGCAGTATGTAGCTATATAGCGGCACTGGTATTTTCTCCATATTGTGCAACCTTCCTAAACAGTAATAAAAGTGATGCTGTATGACCTGAAGAGGAGGTCTAAGCCAAATTTAGTCGTCCATCGTCCTGCTTCTCCAACCTCCAAAGCACGAACCACAGCAGGGAAATGAACCTTGACACTACGAGCGTTTGCCTCACATTCTCCTTTGCATCAAAGAACCTCAAACCTCGACCTAAAATATACCCACTCCTCTCAAACCAGCGCCATGTGTGTGTGCGAGAGGGAGAAAGAGAGTCTGGAAGGGAAAGAGAGAAGAAAAAAAATCAGAGTCTGAGTGCACGTTTTAGAATAACAAGACCTGTGCTTTCTATCACTTACTTCATCCTGGAGGTAGACCTGTGGTGCAAGGCCCCCAGTCTCTGGGGCGGCGGACCCCCTCACCGGGGAGACAGATTTGGGGGCTCGGGGGATAGTGGAGAAGGGGCCCCCCTGGAGCAGTGCAGGAAAAAACAGCAAGAGGGAAGTCTGTACCACTCTCTGAACGCCTTTTGCACCCCGTGAACGGAACATGGGTAACAAGAGGTCAGACACTGGGAGTCAAGTCTGGGCCAGAAGTGTAAACTATTCCATCTGTGTCTGTATCTACAAACTCCACCGCCACCACGGCACCCCCTCCTCCCTTTTGCCCAGGAGTCAAGGCCCCCTCCTGCCTCTTTCGTCTCTTTCTTTTCTCTTTTTTTGCGACGGCGCAAGACAAATAAATCCAGGAAAAAGGCTTCCGAAGGCCTGTGCATCAAGGCTCTCCGATAAGCACCCTCCCCCCGTCCCCAAAAAAAACGGTGAATAGGATTCCTACACAGGCCATTACTCTGGGCGAGGAGGCCGGCGGGCTGTCATCACCGAGACTGCTAGACAAATTATCAGAGCCATCCGCCTCACGCCACAGGAGTCCTTCTGGGCCTGCCAGAGAATAGCCAAGACATTCTAGATGAGCTGTCACAGCTCCTGCGCATTTCCAATGGATGTGAAAGCATCACACATACACACTGGGGCTGTCAGGATTACTCAGTTTTAAAAAATTCATCAGTTAAAATTGATCAGCAATGATTAGTTGGTAATTTGTATGATAATTTATACTGCTCTGATAGACGCATTTATACACATTTTGCCGTAAAGGTTTTATATATTGCTCAAGGATTGAAATAATTAATAGTGATTAATCATATTAGTTTGTGTAGTTACTTATGAGCAGTTGCATTTATCTTATTGCTCTAATTTTACTTCAGTGAAATATTTTATCCATTTAAAAAGCATTTTTATAGCTTTATGAGTGGACAAGTAAGGTTTATCAGAATGTATTTATTGCCTTCAATAATTCTACTTGAATTTAAACATAAAATCACATAAATCCAGTGTGAGCTGAACTTCAGGCTGGAACTATGGCTGAAAGGTCAAACTAGGAAAATACATTAACAGCATAAAAAAAAATGAGCAGAGTTATTAATTTTCCATGTGAACGTGTTAACTTTGACACTGGTTATATTTTGATCTTTCAAAAAAAAATGCTTAACTGAACAGTTACAAACCTCTGTTTGTAGTTTTTGTTTGTCCTTTTTTTAAACTCTCAAACAAATTTATTACTCCATTACTAGTGACGGTCATAATATTCAATTAAGCAAAGCGTGCATATGCATGAACTTCAAACTAACAAAAGCTCTCCAACACCCTCACCATTCGCAAACGGCTTGCACATATTTGCAGACATACTTATATATGTCTGTTTTTTTTGTTTTGGCTGATTGCAGAGGGTTCTGTGATTGCTCAAAAAGAGCTATATGGTAGATTACTCACCACTGAGAAGCAGGCTCTTAAACCTGCTTCGGTTTTCAGCCCCTTCATGTGTTTTTCTTAACTCAGACAACCAGGCCTAATTTAAAAATCCTCCTGCAGCTACTTTGGTTACCTCTGACACACTTCTGTGCAACCACCAAGACTTGCACCATATTATATGACTGCTCAAAATTGTTATGAATTGCATGGTTGTAGCTAGCTTTATTGAAAGATGACGTCATAGCTGGTGCATCCAGACCACCATTTATGGTACCTGGTGTGGACTTAACCTCTTTGGCCTTTTTCAGCATATTGGTGAGATTGCAATAGCCATGCAACTGTTTGCAGTAGAATAGTTGAACATTTTGTCTCTTTTTCCATTTTTTCCTCCCAGTATTTAATTGGCACCTAAATGAGTGCTGTTGACTTATTTAATATTTCTCCATTAACAGTATGTGGGTTCATAATGTGGCAGAGAGAGGGCGGTCTCTGTGTGAGCACTCACATGCATCTAGATCACATGCCTCTCTTTATACACAAGTGACACCTATCAAACTTATCTGTAGTCATCATTCCCATTTTCACTTTCCTTTTCTCCATGGATGGAATGTGAATTTTCAAAATTGCTAAAAAATGACAGATGTGTTTATAGAGGACCAGCAACTCATTAACTTGGCTCCATTACACTTACCTTCACTGGACTGCTTTGCCTGTTTGGTGTTTTTTTGTGACTGTGCTTGGCCTTTGTCTTGTTTTGGCTTTTCCATCATGGATAAATTGTTTTTGGGAAACATTTTTCATGTGTTTTCCTCAACAAGAGGTTGTGTGAAGCACCAGTGGCCTCCTCATTGTGGTGCTTGGTTGGAAGAATGTAAATCTCTGCATTTTTTCAGTGGCTCTGTATTGTCCTCTTGGCCGTGGAATGCCAGACCTGTGAATAAGAGTGGGCTATCTGGGAAATGAAAGACAGATGAGCATCTGTTGCCTGACTGAGGCTCCCATCGGGGTCATCCTGCTGCCTCTGTCCTGGAGAAAGAAACAGAAAAAAACTCCTTTTAGACCAAAGCAGTGCTTTCTTGAACTGCAACTGCATGCAGATATAGGCTACAGACTCAAAAACATACCGTGTGTTCTCTATAAATCAGTAATGTCTGGTTGGAGATAACCTGTGCTGAAAGATTCTTTGATAGAAGAACTACTTTTGGCTCTCTCAAGGGCCTTTCTTTTAGGAACCATTTTTGTAAATGATGTGCAAATGAGACGGTTTAAAGAACCTCTGTGTAAAATGAAGTCCTATTCTAATTTTTTTTTTTTTCCCTAGAACTATAAGTCCAGGCTAGGAACCATTTTTTTCTTCATCAACATAACACATTTGTAACATTTGTTGAGCACCAGAATGTGAAGTTATATATTTAGTATATCTAACAAATATTATTTGCATGTACATGAAAATGTCGGCATTGGTTTTAACCAATTAAACACTTTTGAGTTATTATTTTTATTTCCACTCCTCATGGTAAAAACAGCAAGTATTTATGGAGCTTTCTGCATGAGGTTCTGCTCCAGACCATTCCAGAAGAAAATCCTTGTACTGATAACTCAAAGCCTGGTGATTTAGCGGGCTGGGTGCACCATGTTGCTGTTTCTTTGAACTGGGCTGTTTCCTCGTTTTGATTTAGGATGGCGCATGTACTGCAGTTTGATGAGCAAACCAGAAAGGTGAAGGATGCCAACATGCAGGACGAAGACACGTTTGAGATCTATGACCCACGCAACCCCGTCAACAAGCGCAGACGAGAGGAGAGTAAGAAGCTGCTGAAGGAGAAGAAGGCCAGGAGGTGAGGCTGAGGACCTCTCACAGACCTCTCTCTTCTTTTTATCCCTCTCTCTCTTACTGCCTCATCCTGGCTCTCTGTCTCTTTGGGATGAACTGCAAACCAGGATCTCACTCAACATCAAGGGTATGTCCTTGGGTAAGAAACAAGCAATGTGAGGCATTTAAAACAGGGTGCCTATGGACAGCCTTTCTTAAGAAATACACTGTACAGTAGAATTCTGTCAAAATTACGTCACATCTAATAAAGGCTTACTATGTCTGTGATCTCCATGTATTTGATAATGTCACTAATGAGATTGTTCTTTTGTTGTAAACTGTTTATTATGGTAAAACGATTACTATAAATGGTCCTCAGATCAAGCCTTACCAGGACCCAGGGGTATATTTATGAGCATTCTCTGGGATTGGACAGAAGATCATTCTCTCTTGATCATTAAGAAACATTACTGTTGGGGATCAACATGAGTTATCACTCTCCTCAAAGCATGTTGAGGCAACACTGTGCAGCTGGTGGTGTGTAGAGATATAACAGCAGTCATGTGTAGAGTTGGGTTGCCCCGGTCATATTACATTATTGTTGATTTTCTAATTGACAATGAGTTAACACATCCTCTAAAATGAACTTGGAAGGGTGGGGGTGGGGGTTTCTTTTGCATATGATTGTACACATTCCAAGTTGATTATTTTCCTATTAAATTATTTAATAAATAAATGACACATCCCATTGTTACATTCACATAAACCAGGTACTTAGCAGTACCTCATTTATGTGAATACATTTTAAATATGTAAAAATAGTTAATTTCAATTTAAGCCTAAAAATGTCAAGTAAACTACAACGCTGTTTCCAAAAAAGTTGAGACGCTGTGCAAAATGTCAATAAAAACAGAATGCAAAAATGTGCAAATCATTTAAACCCAATATTTAATTGAAAACAGTACAAAGACAACATATTAAAGGCTGAAATTAAGAAATTTTTATTGTTTTTTGAAAAATATATGCCCACTTTGAATTCGATGCCAGCAACACGTTCCAAAAAAAGTTGGGACGGGGGCATGTTTTCCATTGTGTTGCATCACCTCTTCTTTTAAAAACACTCTGTAAGCCTTTGGGAACTGGGGAGACCAACTGCTGTAGTTTTGAAAGTGAAATGTTTTTATGTTCTTGCTTGATATTGGATTTCAGCTGCTCAACAGTTCAGTTCTTTCACTACAGAGTCATGCTGCTGTAATACGTGCAGAATGTGGTTTGTCAGTCTGTGGCAGCATTGTCTTGCTGAAATAAGCAAGGTCATGTCTGAAAAAGATGTTGTCTGGATGGCAGCACATGCTGCTCCAAAACTAATGCCCCCCCATACTATCATACCCATACTTTTAAATTTTGATATGTCGGACCACAGGACACTTTTCCACTTCGCCTCAGTCCATCTTAAATTAGCTCATGCCCAGAGAAGGTGGCAGCTTTTCTGGATCCTGTTTTATATGGTTTCTTCTTTGTATGGTATAGTTTTAACTTGCATTTGTGGTTGCAGCGACGAACCGTGTTCACAGACAGTTGTTTTTAGAAGTGTTTCTGAGCCCATGCAATGATTTCCACTACAGAATTGTTTTTGTTTTTATTGCAGTGCCACCTGAGGGGGCCCAAAGATCATGGCTGGACAAAATTGGTTTTCAACCTTGTCTCTTGCATACACAGATTCCACCAGATTCTTTGAATCGTTTAATAATAATATGAACTGTAGATGATGAGTTCTTTGCTATTTCACATTGAGAAACGTTATTCTTAAATCAATGCACTATTTGCCCATGTAGTCTTTCACAGAGTGATGAACTCCTCCTCATCTTTATTTCTAAAAGACTCAGCCTCCCTTTTTATACCCAATCATATTACTGACCTGTTGCCAGTTAACCTAATTAGCTGCAAGATATTTCACCAGATGTTTTTTAGCATTACACAACTTTACTAGTCTTTTGTTGCCCCTGTCCCAACTTTTTGGAACGTGTTGCTGGCATCAAATTCAAAACAGGCATGTATTTTTCAAAAAACATTTCTCACTTTCAACATTTGTTATTTTGACTTTGTACTTTTTTTGGTTAAATATAAGGTTTTAAAAATTTGCCCATCATTGCATTCTGTTTTCATTTACAATTTGGACAACGGCTCAACTTTTTTGGAAATGGGGATGTATTATAATGGGTAACTTTAAACACTGTAATATGTTGCAAAATAGGGCAACTTTAAAAAAATTACTCAATTTTCAATTGAAAAACATTTGTCCATAAATTCTATTTTCCTCAGATGTCACATCTTGCAACAAAGGACTTTTATTTTGACATGCTTTTAAGAAAGTGTGGGCAAAGTATTGCATTATAAAGAAAATCCCAAGTGACATTTATGGTGCCTGCCAAGGTCACAAATACTGCAACAGAATAATTTGTGAGGCAAAGTTAGATTTGTACAGTTTACTTAGTCAAGTGGTGTGACCCCAAGAAGATCATGAAAGTGTGTTTTTAGAATAAAGTTTATTTTTTTGAAAAAACATTTGACAAACGTTTATACGAAGGCCCAAATACAAAACTAGTTTATCCATGTTTTTAGTGGTGGTAAAAGAAAAATCTTAATAAAAATTATTAAAGTTATCAAATGTTTTTGATGTGCAACCTGACACATTTTGGGTTAAAAATTTCTGATCCTGTTTAAAAATAAATTTAAACCATTATGAAAGCTATGAAATCAGTATTAATTTACTAAGTAGATTCTTTCATACACAAAAAAGATTTTTTTAATGATTATTTCGAAAGCCTTATTTGTCATTTCTGAACATTCTAATTTCAGGTGAAACCAGAAATGAACTACATTTTGGTGAATAAATTGTAGAATTTCTCCCAGAAATACTTCAGTTGTGCACTTGGAGAAAAGTGCATTAGACCTGGATGATGAGGCCCATCTGAGGCTCATTGACAGTCTGAGCCCATGAATTCCTTGAGCCATGGTGAGGGTTGGAGGAAGAGGGGGAGGCTGGTGCTGCTGTAGGGTTTCACAGAGCTCGATAAAACAGCCGTGCTGCATATCTCCTCCCCATCGCACTGTGCATTGCTGCCATCATAAAAAACCCTCTAAGATCTCCTCTGCAGAAACTGCAGAAGTAACGGGTATTAAAGCTGGATCTGCTCCCTCGCCATCTGCCTCGAACCTGGAAAATGAAACAGTGTGAGTCTCAAAGTTCAACTTGACTGGCGTCAAGCGGCCAATATGATGTAAGACGCACGTCTGTGGTGAAATCGGACAGATACGGAGTTCACTTTGCTCCATCCCGCAACTGTACACCCAGAGCGAGCTTTCTGCTGTCTGGATTGAGTGCAGATTAAATGACTAGATGCCTCTTTCCTGTTAGAAGAAAAGCCCTCCAATAGCTTAAAACAGTGGCAAGATTATCGTTTTTAATCAGCGTCGGACTTTGTTCAAGGCAGCAAAGCCTAGCAGGCCTCCTGATGATGCCGGCTAAATGTGGGTTAGACTAAATGATCTACCACGAGTATGTGTGACCAGGAGCACAGCTTGGCCAGCACGCGGCCTTTTACTGCTCTCTTGGGATGGCGCTTAAATTTTCATATGGAACAGGAAGGAGAGTTAATGTTACACTACGAGAGCCGCACGGCCAGAGCTGCTGCAAATTCAAACCAGGTGAGATGCACCGAAGCCAGTTCAGCTACTGGCGTCCCTGCTTACTCCATTCCACCGTAGTCACAGGGGGGCCATTTGCGAGCCATGGGGGTTCTTCGGCTTTCAACATGTTATAACAGAGTTTACGTATCTGAGGTAGTTACTTAAATGTAATATGTGTATATGGACTGTGTTGATGAATGGAGTGGGAGTTACAGATGGAGTTGTCCTGACTTATTTCACACGACTCCTCTGGCATGTTCAGCCTGAGGGAGATGTCCTGAATGATGACATAATGAACTTCTAATGTTGCCTCGGTCTACCATTGCCACCTATTTATAACGTTTTGCAGACCATTTCAGATGAAGTACCTATATTTTCTGCCAAGTAAATCATAGACGTCTTTTGTAGCCAGGTTACTAATGTGATTTCTGATGCAGCCTGTTTATAATATAAATCTTGATTAAATGGATATGCTTAATATGTGATTTGTAGTGTTCTGCAAATTATGATTGGCCGCAAAGATTACAAGGACTCAGATGAGCATCAAAATGAAGTGAGCCCCATATAACTGTAATGATGCAAAGTGAACCTCCACAGCATGCCAGGAGACTGTATAATAGTCATTTGCTACAGCACACTTGAGCCAGGTAATCAGGGGCTGTAGAACCTGGCTTGAGTTTGCATGAAACTGGAGCAGAACGCATATGAACTGATTGGAAGTCCTTGAGGACAGCACTGAGAACCTCTGTGCTGCAGTGTCTGGTTTGTACTCGTACTCTGAATTCATGCAGCTGGCTTTTTTATATTTATTTAAACATATTTAAAACTTAAAAAGTGCTTTTGAAATTAAAGGAACCCATGATGTTAGTAGAATTTTAACCTGGACTGTAATGAATGAAAGCTGGGGGGCCAGTTAGCATGGTACTTTGGCCTAACGCTGAGCAGCTCCAACATTTTGTGTGAATTTTTACTTTAATAGCTTTGGGACTGAAAAGGCCCAAATTAGATTTTAAAAGTGCTCTAGACAGACCACACGCACACTTCTCTGACTTTTTGACTTTCCTCTGGCAAGAAACTCAAATCGTGGGACTCAAATGGCCGTGAGGAGCAGACAAGACAATGTCACTCCTGTTCGGCAACACCCTGCTAACACTTAACATTCTTACTGTCCAGCCAAGGCAGGAAATACCCTTCGTTACTGCTGGTCACATGACGGCAGGAGATGAAATGGACCAGTAATGGCATTATCTCGCTCGCTGACCACTATCTTCTCCAGTCCTTGTGAATGAGGACTAAAAATAACTTGCTTAATCCTTTTCCCACCTACAGGAGCACAAGGAAAGCAGAGTCTTCTCCGAATCTGAGCCTTCGGGCTCCTTTTACATTAGCCTTTTTGACTTCCCCAGAGTGAAAAGAATACATGCAAGACATTACAGTTCAGCTACAAAATAATAATAAATAATAGTAGTAATAAAAATAGTAATAATAATCAGAGATACTTCTTAATCAAAGAAACAATACAGTAAAAATCACCTGACACTGATTTGAAGCAGATTTTTCAAAATTTGTGCATCATTCTGTGGTTGAGATGTAAATGA